TCTATAGTCTACTCACTGTAAAGGTCTACATTCCTGAGGGCTTAGAAGGCTTCAGATGCCATTCCAAGCACTCAGTGGGACTCATCTGACTCCCCAACAAGCCTCCAGGGTTGCAACTACCACTAGCCCAGTTTTGCAGATGAGAAAACCAAGGCACAGAAAGATCAAGCTACTTGCCCAAAGTCACACAGCTAGTTGGAAGCTCACAGGGAGTTTGGCTTGAGAGGCCACAACAGTTCCAGGAATAAAATAAATGGTTTTGAAAGATGTGTATGCTCAATAAACAGGATTGAGTTTCGATGTTCCTTAAATACTACAATTAAATTGTTGATAGTGGGGACTCCAGGTAATTAATTTTCATCACTACATTGTTACAGCAAGTAAAGTATTTATTTACAAATCCTGTGACAGAAGCTATGTGATTTAATGGAAAGGGCACTAGATTCAAACAGATATGGGTTTGAATCCCTGTTCAACCTGTTGCAACCACTCTTAAAGGGTGCCTTAACCATGTCCCACCTCATCCCCTCCCAGGACCTTGAAGAGGATGCACATGGACACTTGGCAAAGCGCCTGATATGTAAGGGGTGCTCAGAAAATGTTAGTTTCCTTCTCCCTTAGGATGAAAAACACATCACGCTTAAAGGAAACTTCTAAGTCTGCCAAGAATAAAGTCCAAAGTTACAGTAACTTCCACAATCCAGTAAGATAAAGAAAAATCACCTAATGAGAAAAAAAATGAGCAAAGGATATGAACAGGTAATTCACAGAAGCTAAAATATAAACTAGAAAGAGAGGCTTTCACTATTTTTGGTAATTTTGGGAATGCAGTCAAAATAATTCTTCTTTATCCATTATGTTGGCAAAAATTAATAGATTTATATTCTTCGGTGTTGGGCAAATTAAAGGGAAACAAGCCATTTCACACACTAATGGAAGGAGTACAAAATGACAAAGCTTCTTGAAAGTGAGGGGCAATTTGGTAAAGCTCTCCATTTAAAATTACTTTTTGACACAGAAATTCTACTTCTAGGGATCTAGAAGACTGAATTATTTGAAAGTATTAACAATGACATGGCTCACAGACTCTCCACTATTTTTAGAGCAGAAAACTGAAAACATCCTAAATGTCCATCGACAAATGGTTAAATAAATTATAGTACACCCACACTCTGGAACACAGACCAAAAAAAAGACAAACATTTCATGTCAGTGCAATAGCTCTCCAGAACAGAGCATTAACTTTAAAAATCAAACCAGAGAAAATTTTGTATAATGTGTCTGTCTACATTTACATTTACAGTGACAGCATTTGTCTACAGAAGTCCTTGAAGTAGCAACACCTCAGATGCAATGAACACACCTAGCACCCAGATCTTGTTTTTAAATACTATTCTCTCTGGAGAAATGGCTGATTCCAGGGTTGCCAAGCACAAGTGGAGTCTTGAAGGTTTTCTGCCAAAAAGTTTAAAAGTTCTCAAAGAATGATGAGGACATGTCATAAGGACCTAAGAGCCAGCTTGAAGGGGCTTCTGCAGGCCAAGTCTGGGAGGATTTAAGCAACAAAACGAAAAATGAGAGTAACAGACAATATTGCATCAATTGCATCAAGCAGGAATTCATGAGCGCAGAGATACAAATAAAAGAATAAATAGGGGAGAAAGAAAAGTTCTTCCTTTCTGTACAAACCCACTTTATAAGTGTAGAAAGAAATACAGAATTGCAAAATCACTAACCAACTATCAGAGTAACTGACTCAGATAAGAATCATCAATGGATTTTGAACTAGGGGGTGAAAGTATGAAGAATAATAGTGTATTTACATAATCTCAGGTTAGCTTGCTATTAGATACATATTAATTACAAAGGGAAAAATGATAACCTTTCTGTAGGGAGATTTGGCAGACACCACCTTCATCAAGTGATCAAAGTAAAGGAGACCAGTGAATGGGACTGATCAAAGCACATGCTTCCTCCTGATAGGACACACTAAGCCAGCTGCACCATCGCCTCTGTGCTACACCTGCCCAAAGGCCATAATCTCAGTCTAATCATGAGGAAACCTCAGGTAAACCCATATTAAGGGACATTATCCAAAAAACAGGAAGCTGTCTTCAAAAATGTCAATGTGATTACATACTCAGGAACTATTCCAGATAAAAGGAGACTAAAGAGATAGGACAACTTAGCACAATGCATAATCTCAGATCTTCTTTTGCTCAAAAGAACATTATTGGAAGACCTGTAGGATAAATGATAGTGTTGTACCAGCACTTACTGTCCTGATGTTTAATACTTGTACTGCTGTTCTTATTTAAGAGAATATCCTTGTTTTTAGGAAATATACAATGAAGTATTTAAAGGTAGAAGGGCATCATGTCTGCAACTTTCCATTAAGCAGCTCAGGAAAAAAAGCAATCACACACACAAATCCAGGAGAAGAATAAAACAAATGTGGCAAATGGCAACATTGGGAGAATCTGGGTAAAGGGTATCTGGGAACTCAGGATTATTCTTGCAACTTTACAGCACATCAGAAATAATATTTTTAAAATGTTAGGAAAGCAAGATGTGTATGTGTATACAGATATAGATAATTTCCAGGAGAGAGTAGGTTCATGATGGCATTCTCCTTAAAAGCTCTAAGAAAAATTGCAGCAAGCCTGCCCTGGTGTTAACATTGGTCTCCCCACAATATGCTCTCGTCACAGAGTGGCTGTCTCAGGACACTGGAGAAAGCGGTTATGAAGGATCTCTCAAGTTCCTTAACCAAGTTCCACCAAAGAAGCACCAATACAATCAGCCCTCTTCGTTGCACATTTATGCTGCTTTTCCCTTGGTGAAGCCCAGGCATCCTGATACCATGAGTAGCTGATGATGCTACGGGGACTTTTCTGGAATACGTAAGCTACAAAGGAATTTTTCATATAAATCAGAACCAGTCTTGGTTCAAAGCCTCCCCTTCCACTCTGTCTTACTGGATTACTGGGATGTTAAGCTATGGGGATTGGGAGTCAGTTGGGCCCTGCACCTTTCTGTTCCACTCTCCAGGTGCATTTGCAGATTTGCTGGCTCCGGAGGATGCTCCCAGTAGGCAGCTGGCTAAAGGGCCTTGCAGGGTCAATAGTTTTCTCTGTCATGGACATCCCTTCTCTAAGACATTCTTTTCAGTTTACAACAAGCTCTCACATACATTATTTTATTTCACCCTTTCTTTAGAGTGATTTTTTAATCCCAATATTCAGTTTAACAGCAATATGACAAATATTGTTTCCCTAACAATGGAATAAACTGTTATGTCTACCCTCAACTTAAGTCTAGAGCAGATCAAGTCTAGTGAAAAATAGAGAAAAGCAGCTACTAGAATAAGCACAACCAATTCTGTTGCTAAGCACAGGAGAAATACAGCTCCGTCTCTCCGCATCCATTCAGCATCCATTCATGGAAGCCTCATCTTCAGGGCATGCCCTCCCAAGAACTTTGGCTTATTCCTTCAGAGGCGTGTTTACAAGACACTGCAGGGATGGAGGCCTTGTGGGGCTCAGTTCACACACAAGGCCACCCATGGGACAGCATCCTGGTCTTCTGACACCTCCTCCAGCAGAACAGCCACACAGATCTTGCCACGTGAGCACCACCATTTGTCTTTCTTCAAAGTGACCAATGAACAGAGTCCTCCAGAAGTAAACATTTCAGGAAAGAACCCCCAAAACAAAGGCCCTAGCCTAGATAAAAAAAAAAACAAAGTCCCTACTAAAGAAAGCCTGTTTTCAAACCAAAGAAAAATTAGACTTAATTATAGGACAACCTATAGCTATTCTATATGCATTTACTAATGCCAACAGCACCTAGATTCCAAAATAAACTCGGCAAACTGGGTTCTGCTCTTGTCTTTTAATGAGAGAACTGAAAAACAGAGTTAGCAAGTGACAGATTCAAGATTCACACCCCGTTTCAGTTTGTTATGTCCCCAACCCCACTGGTTTGCCCACAGTCCACACACTCACTGTGAACGAGATGAAGCAGGCAGAATTTCATGGCAGCATTCAAACTGCCACCCCATCCCCTATTCCCTGGGTTTAGATGCCCTAAAGACATTCTACTCTTAAGCAGCCTCCCAGTGCAAAACCCATTCAGTGGCAAAGCAAAGGCAACTACACGGGCTTTACCACTGCCTATACTTTCCTCTAACCCAGAGGAATATTTTCATGATGTGTCATTATGGATGAACTCAGGCCAGGAGGAACACATCATTATGTAATGACAGAGGACAGGCAACAAGGAGGAAGGGAAAACCGAGCCCATCACCGCTCCCTTCGCCCACGACGACATAAATTTACCTTTGACATGTTGAGCGTTTCAGTCTCCTATGGCCTACACGTTCATGATTGGCTTTCCAAGAGCCCATCAAAGATCCTTGCAAATTTCTCAGGTCTCAATTAATTCACTAGCAACGCCAAAAAAATAAAAAATATAAAATGCAAAGATGCCTGAAATACTGTCGGGGCTATGGGCCGGCAGAAAAGGGAATAGTTGAGAGGTTGGAGGAGAGATTTCCTGAGATGCATGTTTGTTTTTCCTCGGTTATGCTTACACCAGAAACACAGGCAAGGCCTTCGGCGTCTGGAGTCACTAGACCCAGCCCTGGGGACGCTCCAGGCAGGCGCGAGACCTGGCCTAGGATCGCCGCGTCCCGCATCCCGGCTGCTCGCCCCCAGCCCCCACTCCACAGGCCCCTCAGGCCCAGACAGCCCGGCCCTCATCTTGCCAGAGGTCGGCCAGGGTGGGTAGCCCTCCAGAGCCGCAACCGCAGGTGAACCCCTAGGCGGTACGATTTCCATGACAACCGCGGGCGCCGTCCCCATCCGGCGCACCGATACCGGGATGCTCGCCTCGCCTCGCCTCGCCTCGCCCCGCCCCGCCCCGCCCCGCCCGAGGGCACCCATGTCCCGGCTTCCCGCAGCCGCCGCGTCCCGCACCCGCCCGGCCAGCCCACCTACCTGGCGCGCTCCGGCCCGAGGCTCCCGCGCCCTGCTGCCCCGCCGTCCTCGGTCACGGCGGGCCGCGCGCCCGAGCCCCGCAGCAGCAGCAACGCAGCTTTGTCGCGAGTTCTGGGCTACGACCCGGCTCCGGGCACTGGTCCTCCTGCCCCGGCCCGCGGCGCCCGCCCCGGCCGCGAACCCTTCGCCGGAGCCGCAGCCCAAACCTCGCCGCTGCCGCCGTCGCCGCCGCCGCCGCCGCTCAGGAGGCCGCGCGCAGCCCCGCCCTGGCCCCGCCCCCCGGCCGCGCATGCGCGCCCTGCAACCCGACAGCACCGCCCCATCCTTCAGGTGCGCCTGCCCCGCCGCTGATCCCTGGGCGCGAGCTTGTGCTCCAGGGCTCACGGAAGACCCCACTGTCAGCTGTGACAGTCGCCTGGGAGGAAATCATAAACTCCTGGACCTAAGTGAACGACGGCCTTTTCGCCTCACCGACACTGAGGCTTCTGAGGCCCTGACACATCGCCAACAAGGCGGTTCCGGAGGAGCGCAGTGACCGGGTGCAGGTGGACGCGTTCCCTGGGAGACGTTGAGGAGACATGGTGCAACCCAGAAACAAGCACAAATTAAAATCCTCTTTGAAGAGGCAAATAAGCAAAAAGAAGACACGGCTAACATCCTTCCAGATCTGTTCTGACATTGCATACATTTATAGACTCACTTAAAATCAGCTCCTTGCACTTCTCCCCCAAAGTCCTGTTTTTCCATGGGGAGAGAAAAGAGTCAAGTTTTGAAAGAAACTTCACTGCAGTATGACTTTAACCTTAATATTTCTGCTTGAGCAAGGGGAAATACTGGACTGAATATAACCATTTATTTTATACGAATTTTATCAGAAAAAAAATTTCTCCTAAAAATTTCTTAAGTGATAACTATTTTAATTCAAAAAGCCAGAACACTTCTCAGAGTTCACATCCCCCAGGTATAAAAGCAATAATTTATAATTTGCTTTAAAAAGAAGATATTAATCTTTTAGAAATGAAAATTAAACAAGAATTCTCTGATCTCATTTTGAATTAGATCTGAGCCTCCCCAAGTCACAAAAAACTAAATGCAGACAATAGTCTGGAATAAAAATAAACAAATATAAAACTATTTTTAGAATTTTCTTTTCTGACACTTTATCTCCTCTCTAGTAATTTATTAACAAAACTTCATTATTTCTTCAGATAAGTGGAAAGAAATGACAGAATTTTACTCCTAGTATAAAATTAAAACCAAGAAAATCAAACAAACTTGTAAAAATGCAAAACTGTTTTTATGTTTTCTAAAATTAGGGTGACCAATATACCTGGTTTGCCAGGGAAGATCCCAGTTTATGCCTCTTATCAGCAAACGTATTAACAAAATCTCCTTTCACTCTAAATAGCTGTTCACAAAAGTTTTCAGGCAGTACTTTTTATGGCCGTGCTAGCTTTCATCAAGCCAAGAGAGTTTTTTTATTATTAGCTTTAAAAAAATAAACAAATTTAAATTCACAAACACTTAAACATCCAATTTCAACAGTTCATTCATTTAACATAGTAACAAACACTGAATAAAGTTGGGGCATCCAAAAACATTTGTCACTTGACTGTTGTGTAATTTCGGATAATCTTAAAAAGTAATCACATTTTCAGTGTACAAAGGAATGAGGCCCCAATTCCAATGTAGAGTGAACATTATCAAGAGAAAAGGAAGCCAAGTTTGTCACTAAATATGGTGCTATACGTTCTCTAAGCGTCTATGAGAGAAGAAAGTGTGCTGGTGGGAAAGTATCCCCATACTCTAGAAGCTCTCAACATGGGCTCTCCAACCAGCAGCAATAACATTTTCTCAGAACTTGCTAGAAATGCAAATTCTCAGGCCCCCTGCCAGACCTGCTGTTTCAGAAACTCTGAAAGTGAGGACAAGTCATTTTTATTTTAGCAAACCGTCCAGAGTATTCTGAGAAACATGTGGGCTGATTTAGATAATCTATACATGATAAGAGCTAAGCAATATTATTTGGGGGACTAGAACTAACCTACCTTCTTGGACTATTAAATATGATATATTTATATGTCTCCATTAAGAAATATACTAGCCTTTATTATAACATAAATAATATATGTCTTTATATTATAATATAAAATAAAGGAAACCAATGGCCCTGCCACCATAGTAACTGTGAAAACCTACAGCCTAGCAGCCACTGGAGGGAAAAAATGATTTGGAGCCCCTCAAAAAGCCCTATCTCCAGAGACATGTCACTATTTGACTGGTCTAGCAGCTTACTGGAAAAGCTCCATTCACAGGACTGGTCTTTAATTGACCTGACTCAGAGCTTACTCTGTGCAAATGGTCCTATCCACAGGACATTTGGTGAAAGCAAACAGCAGCAACTATTTAATACAGAAATTGCCCAAGGTGGTGACAGCAATTGGAGCTGAGAAGAGGCTGAGCAAATAACTTAAAAGGAAGTAATGAGAAATAGATGTCCATGGGGAGACTTTAGAAAAATCTGATATATTTCTGGGAATGTAAAAGGGCACACACATGTGTACAACTGTGCACATGCCCAGGAAAGACTTGAGATGGCCATTGTCTCTCACTTCTGGCTGACCTTGATAGGTTGACAGGAGTTGTAAATATGCCTTAATATTCACACAGAGCCCCTCCATAAAGACAGAAAGACATACTGGTTCCAGCATTTATGAATATCTTTTTCTAATTATTAGAAAACCATTAAGCTAATCAAGCAAGAACTTGTGGCTACACATGAAAAAGAATACAGACTTTGCAGAATTATTCCAAGAGAGTCTCTAAACAAACAAAAAGCAACAACAAATGCTGAGGTAGAGGGAAATATGATTTCCAGAATCGCCATTTTATATTAATGAAAATGCCCAATTCAAAAAAGAAAAAGTCATGAGACACATAAAGAAATAGGAAGGGACACAGGCTAAAAGGTAGTCACTAGAATGTCTGTGAGAAATACAAATGTTAGACATACTGAACAAAGACTTTAAATCAGTTATAAATATGTTCAAAGAACCAAAAGAAACCACATCTCAAAAATTAGGAAAGTATGAGAGAAAAAAAAAAGAATATGAATAGATAAGGATTATTAAAAAGAAAAAAACAGAAATCTTATAATTGTATAAAGGTACAATTATTGACCTGAAATGAAAAATCCATTAAGGGTGTACAACAGCAGGATTGAGCTAACAGAGAAAGAATTAGTGTTTGAGGTTAGGTCAGTTGATACTGCCCAGTCTGAAGAACATAAAGGAAAAATAATGAAAATATATAAACTAGGCCTCAGAGATTTGTGGGACACCATCTAATATATCAACATACACATAATAGGAGTCCCAGAAGAAAAGGAGGGAGAAAGGTACAGAAAAAATATTTGAAGAAATAATAGCTAATAACTTCCCAGTTTGATGAAAATTTGATGAAAAACACTAATTTTCACATTCAAGAATTTCAGTAAATTCCAAGTAGGATAATCTCAGAGATTCACACTCAGTCACATCATAAACTATCAAAAGCCAAAGATGGAGAAAATCTTCAAAACACCAAGAGAAAAGAAACTCATCATGTACAAGGGATCCTCCATAAAATTATGGAGGTCAGAGTCAGATGACATATTCAAAGTACTAAAAGGAAAAGGCTGTCAACCTAGGATTCTATATTCAGCAAAACTATCCTTCAAAAATGTGGGAGAAATTAAGATATTCTCAAGTAAACAAAAACTGAGAAAATTCATTGCTAGCAGACCCTCCCATAAGAAATCCAAAGGGAGTCCTTCAGGCTGAATTGAAAGGCCACTAGAGAATAACTCAAATTCACACAAAGAAATAAAGGCTAAAGGAAGATAAAAAGGTAAGTCAGTTGGTAATGCTTTTCTTCTCTCTGATTTAGAAAACAGCTGCATGAAACAATCAGTATAAATCTGTACTGATGGTATCATAATATGAAAAAGATATAATGTGGAGAGAAAATAGTTCAACTGGAGCAAAGTTTTGAATACCACTGACATTAAGTTAACATTAATATAAATCATATTCTTTAAAAATTTGATGATGATGTAATTCCCAGGACAAACATGAAGTATATAGACATGGAGTTAGACATTGAAATTAAAAGAAAGAAAGCAATTAAAATAGTACACTAGAACATATCTATTCACCACAGAAAAAGGCAGTAATAAAGGAAGAGAGGGACAAAAAGGATACAAGATATACAGAAAAAAAGTGCCAAATATCAGGCATCTTATCACAAGGTATTTAAGTGTAAATAAATTAAACACTCCAACTAAAAGGCAGAAATTGGCAGATGGAATAAAAAAAGAGTATGATTTTACTATGTCCTGTTTACAGAAACAATCTTAAAATCCGAAGGCATAAATAGGTTGAAGGTAAAATGATGGACATGAGGATACTATGGAAACAGGAATCAACAGAGTGTCACAGTGGCTATGCTGCTATCAGACAGCACAAACTTCAAAAAGCTGTCACTACAGACATTTTATAAGAGGATGATTCCATCAGGAAAATATAAATAAAGATAACTAACCACAAAAGAGACCCAAAATATGGGAGGCAAAACTGACAGATTTTAAGAAGTGGACAATGTAATAGTAATAGTTGAAGATGTTAATGCTCCACTTTGAATGATGGATAAAACAATGAGGCAGAGATCAACAAGGAAACAGATGATTTAAATAACAGTGTACACCTACTAGACTTAACAGATAGCTCCAGAAGACTCCATCCAGTAATATCAGTACACACATACATACTGCTCAATTATACCTGAAACATTCTCCAGGATAGACTATATGGTGGGCCATAAATTAAAAAGGATTGAAATCATACAACATATATCCTCTGACCATAATGGTATTAAAATAGAAATCAACAACAGAAGAACATTACATGCAGGTGGAAATTAAACAACATAGCCCTCAATAACCAAGGGGCCAAAGGAACTCAACAGGGAAGTCAGAAAATATTTTAAGAAAAATTAAAATGAAAACTGAAGTGCTTAGAGGGAAATTTATGGCTGGAAACACCTATGTTGGAAAAGAACAAAGATCTAAAAGCAGTAACCTAGTCTTCCTCCTTAAGAAACTAGAAAAATAACATGAAAACCAAGAGAAGCAGAAGGAAGGAAATAATAAAGATTAAAATGGAAACAAATAAAATATGGAAAGACAGAAGAGAAAAATCAATAAAACCAAAAATTGGTT